ATAATTATGAGGCTTTTCTAAAAACCTGCCATTTAATTCACCTTTCAACAGTCCATATGTCCTAAATACTGCAACCCAAAAAAAAAAAAAAAAAAGCAATAGATGTATCCTTACAAAGAATGAAGAAACACAGATTACTAATTAGGTTAAAATTTTTAAAGCTTGTCAATAACTAATTATTGATAAAATAATAAAACTGGATAACTTTCTAGGTTTTTTAAAAAATATTCTACTTGGTTTACACATGATCTATATAATCTTTTTTTTATCTTGGGTGCTGATATATCAATTATGTACACTGCATTTGAAGCAATGTGACTTAGAACTTTCTTTATTAACAAAGTAGTTACTGCTTATTTTCTGTTACTGGGGTATTTTATTTTCCATAATTTATCAAGTTAAAGTTCAGACTATCCCACTTTAAAAGTAGAAAAGTTAAGACTCCATTAACTTATAAAGGATATGCCAATATCCAAAGAAAAGCTCAATGGCAGAGACAGAATCTGGATTCTTCATATTTTTGGTTCCTGATCTCAGTTTCTGCTCATCTATCTTTATTAAATTTATATTCACTCACCCCATGTCAAAAAAACAAACAAAACTTTAAAGTAGAATACTATTAGAATTTACAAACCTTGTATTCTTCTTTGTAAAAGAAAAAATAAACATGAAGTTTAAAATATTTGCTGCCTTTGCCAAACTGATTTTCATAAAATATATGATGAATCCTTTATATGAGAAAGTGAAATAAACCAACTAGTAATAGAGTGCTGAAACCTTCTGAGGTTTTATATACACTCTTTAAAGACAAGTATAGGAAAAAATGTAAAAAGAAAAAGTGAAAATATATACCAAAATGTAAAAGTCTACCATCACAGAAGCTATTTTTACATTTCTGAATCTAAAAACTCTAAATAGTCATTAAAAAAACCCATAAAATCTTAAAGATTGTTTACAAAATGTATCCTACCTTGCCAGAGGTTAAAATAAATTTATCAAACACATAATATAATTCCTGGGTGGGGTGGTTATCATCATCATTAAGGTCAGAAGCATCTTCTGTAGCTTTGCAGTTGCAAGAGGTAGCAGATGTGTCAGTGCTCACAATCTGATGTGAACTCTCTGTTTCTATATTTGACCTGCAGTCTGTACCAACAGATTCATCTGGGTCAGGGGATTTATAATCAATGCAATTACATTGGCTGAGTTTCTTTTTTAAACAAGTTTCTGAAGGTGCTAAATCATCTTGTTTCTTATTTGATTTTGGCTCTAATTCACTGTCTTCACTGGTAGAAAGACAGGAAGATTCCTGTTCGAGTTCAGCCAAATCTAGTTCATTTACCAACAAACTGTCATCTTCAGTAATACATCTCTGTGATGTACATTCCATTTCATCATATTTATCAGGCTGACCTCTTTCTGCATTTATTTTTTCTGTGCTTTCTCCAAGTAGAATGCAACAATTGCATGCCATATTGTCAGACTTCACTGGTTTCTTACTGCTTATTTTCCCCTTCTCTTTTTTCATAGAATCCACTGTAGATTTATTTCCACCCTTCCTCTGAGGACAGGCAAAATACCGATAAGCTGCCCTGAATCTCTCCACAACATATTCATAAACAAGCTGGCTGTTTAAGCTCCGTGCAACATTCCTCTTGACTGAAAATGGATCTAGGAAAAAAGGAAATGGTCAGTTGCTAAGTATCTACTAACAAATTACAATTCCAAGTTTACCCAAAAGATCTGAACTGCTATACTGTCAGCAGAGTACATTTTCCCAAAGCTTTCCTAACCTAAGGTCTAAGTGGGAGTTCCTATAAACTGAGTAGGGGAAATACAATAGCAACATCTTTGTTTCTGTCATAAAATAAAAATGTTAAGGGGAAAAGAGAGAAAAGAATAATAATCAGGATAATTAATGAGAGGTTGGCCGAGGACACCAACTCAGTAATTACAAAATTTCAATGATAAAATTGGTAGATAAAGGCATACCGTTATGCCTTCCTATACTGTCATTAGATGAATTTTTCAAACCTCTAGGACCCATTCATAATTTTCATCTCTTGTCACAATATTCTTAGGTACATACTCCTTGCAATTTAAGCAAATAAAATATAACTAAAACTCTCAAAACTTCAAGTTAAAAAATATGATTTTATTTTTTTTTTTTTTTAAATTTTTTTTTTTTTTTAAAGATTTTATTTATTTATT